CCACTTTTTGGTTCTTGTGAGTAATGCTGCTATGAACATCCATGAACAAGTTTGGTGTGGACATATGTTTTCACTACCCTTGGGTAAATACCTAGAAGGGGAATTGCTCAGGTTCTTGTTATGAAAAGACACTGGCTGCTTTGTGGGAATGGGTTAGAGGAGGCATGAGTGGCTGTAGAGCGATCAGGGGGGAAGCTCCTACTAAACTGGCAGTAGAAGGCTTTGTACCACATTGTTAAACACTGTAAATCAGGGCTTTCTCCTCCCGCTCAGAGCCAGTTGCCAAATGCTTAGCAGCACACCACTGGCTCCCCACCTCTGTCTTGGAGTGGCTTCCATTAGGTGGTGGTTTCACAGCAGAGGCAAAAGCATGGGTTCCATTTTGCCCTTGTTGAGTTCGAGGTAGCCAGGGACAAGCACATGAATGTGTCCAGATACATTTGGGCTTTCTAACCCATAACTCAGGAGGGCCGGGGGCTGGAGATGGCGCTGTGGGACTCACTGTTTCAGTGGCTGTGGGTGAATGAACTCATCACCTGCGGAGCAAGTGAGAGGAGGCCAGGCTCAGGAAAGGGCCCTGAGGACTCTAGGCCTAAAGCCAACTTTCCCCTGCCTCCCAGATTCCTCTGTTGTAAAGCAGGCTACACACCGGGATGGTTTCTAGGTGTGTGTTACGTGGCGATCAGAAAAAAGAAAGAAATGACTGAAGTAGTTTGTTTTATTATATCTTCCTGCAAATAACATATTTAGGCCTATCCAAGTGATAAAGAGTCACAGATAATTGCAAATCATTATGAAACTTCAAGGAGTTCCACAAGAGCTTTGGGCCTAAAAACAGATGGATTAGAACCAGTGCAAGAGCCAGTTAATAGATCCAGCAGCACTCAGCAACGTGACTAAAATGTGAACACGTTTCAGGAGAGAAAAGCAGAGGATGAGGAATGGACTCAGCAGCTTCCTTTCAGACCTTACTCCTTCCTGGCTATACTTCAGCAAAACCTGGCTTTGCCTAAGCGCCAGAGATTCTGTTGTGTTCCTACTTGAATATTTGATTAGGTTACCTATCCTCCCGGGACTGCCGCCTGTGGTGGTCATAAGTGGCTGGCGGATTTGTTTACTTGTATATCTGTCATAGGCCATGGGGGGAGCACCCCACCAGCAGGCGGCTCTGGCTCACATGCCTGCCAATCACAGCTTTACCTGGAGGGAACAGATGGTCTCTTCTCTCAGACCCATTTCCTCTGCAGTCCCGGGCCCCCTGCCAGCATGGGCCCTGTTCAGAACTTTGTACTAATCCTCCCAGTCGAATTAGGGACTCCTCAGAAGCACAGACCATAATAGATGAGTGTGGCAGTGTGCTCACAGCCCCCACTCTGATCCCCCACCGCCAGACCTGCTGTGTTGGGCCCACTTCCATTCCCTGGCCTTCATCCAGGCTTCGGCAACAGATGCAGGCCCGGAACAGGGAAAGCCAGTGGAGAGGACACCACACATTTTGTTTATTAAAGTTAATTGGTGAATGCAGGCCCAGGGAAGCCTCTGATTTATTAGCATTCTAATTAATATGCAGCTGTTGAGTATCAAGAAAAATGAAATGGAAAGGAGTAAATCCCCAAAGGAGAAGTTGAAAAAAAATCAAGAGGCTTTCTGCAGACATCTGATGCAGACTTTTGTCCCACAATGAAATTTAAATTTGAATTCAAGAGATTTCTCACCATTTGCATAGTGCCACAAAGACAGATTCCAGCTTCAACACTGGAGCCTGAGAAAGGAGTGACTTTGAACCTTTAGCAGCTCAAACGGGTTGTGAGCAATTACGCAAAAAGAGGCACCTGGTTTTATTATTGATTTTAATGTCAGGATTCTTACAATGCTAAGTCAACGAGGCAACCATGGTACAAGAAGGCTTTCCAGCAGGAGTATTTCACCAGGCTTTGTTCATTCATTTCGGTATTCAGCAATCCCTTTTCCTCAGCCTGCACAGCTTCCTGGAGAGAACCTCTGAATTAACTAGGAGTGTTGTGATCTGTAAGTTAAGGTGCTATGTGGGTGCACTAGCAGAGCTCTGAGTGTTACTTCCTAAAGTTGCAGAAAGGGAAAGTCATTTCGAGTAAAGGCTGGTGGATTTGGTGAAATTGTGGGAAGTTCCAAATTGCTGGGAGTGGAGGGTAGAAAGAGTCAGGCTGAAAAGAGAGGCCCAGGGTCCTGGAAGGCCTTGGTGCTGTGTTAGGGAATTTAAACTTGATCCTGTGGCTGGTGGGGCTTCTCTAGATTGATTTGAGAGAGGGTAATGAGGTGGAAATGAGATTGATGGTTTGGTATAGCTGATGGGAGGAATGACCAGAGCACAGACAGGACACCCAGTGGCCTTAAAGACCCCTGTAAGGCTGGAGAGCAGGACTCTGTAGTGACCTTGTTTATTGGGTTATGATTTTGTGTGGCTCAGGCTCCTGAGTGTGAGAAAAGGGACCGGGCTTAGCTGGCTCAGCGTGGCTCAATGGTTGAGCATTGACCTATGAACTAGGAAGTCACAGTTTGATTCCTGGTCAGGGCACATGCCCAGGCTGTGGGCTCAATCCCCAGTAGGTGGCGTACAGGAGGCAGCCAATCACTGATTTTCTCGTCACTGGTGTTTCTCTCCCTCTCTCTCCCTCGTCCTTCCTCTCTGAAATCAATAAAAATATTTTTAAAATATATTTTATTGATTTTTTAGAGAGGAAGGGAGAAGGATAGCCAGAAACATCAATCAGCTGCCTTCTGCACACCCCCTACCGGGAATGTGCCCACAATCAAGGTATATGCCCTTGACGGGAATCGAACCTGGGACCCTTGAGTATGCAGGCCAACACCCTATCCACTGAGCAAAACTGGCCAGGGCAATAAAAATATTTTTGAGAGAGAGAGAGAGAGAGAGAGAGAGAGAGAGAGAGAGAGAACGAACAGCGGTTGGTTGTAGAGAGCCAGAGTGGTATTCTGGCAGGTCACTGTGGCACAGAATAGAAGGGAAGAGGGGCTGAGACCACCAGTCAGAGAGTGAAGTGATTGAGCCCTGGGTTTAGAACACAAAGGTAGTTTGTGTTTGAGATCTTAGCAAAGTTAAAGCCAGGTGTTGGAGCCCATGACCCCATCTCCATCACCACTGTGCAAAGCATGGCTGTCCTTTTAGAAGCATTCTGTATTCTCTAAGTGCATCCAGATATTATAAAAGTCTGAATGTTACAATGTCATTGTGTCACAGGTCTGAACTCATGTCCTTCTGCCTCCCCTCTCCTTAACAAAGAAGAGTAATTCATGCTCCAGGTTGTAAATTGCTTAGCAAACAAGACAAGAATGCTCACAGAGCCTTTAGTTGGTCTGTTGTTTTCTAGCTGATGTAAATGTTTGCTGTAGAAATATCAGTATTCCCTTCTTAAAATGCATTGGACACAGCGTCTTGTCTTGGAGGCTGATGAACTTGCATGATTTGTGGGAATCCAAAGGCGGGAGGAATAGGTCTGACAGAAGGTGTCCTTCATTCATTCAGCAAACAGTGGATGGTTTACTATGTGCTGGATACTAGGAATGCAAAGATAAATGGGACCCATCTCTCTGGGGAGATAGGGCTGTGAGTAGTGACAAGCTAACGTAGTGATAGGTACGGGGATCCTGGACAGCTTCTGAAAGGAGGCAGTGGTTTACTTTGATCTCATGGGTTGAGTCAGAGAGCAGGCGCAAAGACACAGAGGCAAGAAGCAATCTAGCAAGGAATGCACGAGGACCAGGACACAGTTGGATCCATTGGCCTCGATTTCACAGTACTTCTCAGCCAAAAGGCAGAGCTCAGGCTGTCAGGAATAAGGCAAGAAAAATAGTTTTATGAAGAAAGCATTAGAAAATCAAGATGTAGCCCTAGCTAGTTTGGCTCAGCGGATAGAATGTTGGCCTGCGGACTGAAGGGTCCCAGGTTCGATTCCGGTCAAGGGCATGCACCTTGGTTGCGGGCACATCCCCAGTAGGGGTTGTGCAGGGGGCAACTGGTCGATGTTTCTAACTCCCTATCCCTCTCCCTTCCTCTCTGTAAAAAAATCAATAAAATATACTTAAAAAGAAATCTTTTAACATAATTCTTTTTAAAATATTTTATTGATTTTTAAAATATATATTTTATTGATTTTCCACAGAGATGAAGGAAGAGGATAGAGAGCTAGAAACGTCGATGAGAAAGAAATATCAACCAGCTGCCTCCTGCACAGGATGTGCCTGCAACCAATGTACATGCCCTTGACTAGAATCGAACCTGAGACTTTTCAGTCCGCAGACCGATGCTCTATCCACTGAGCCAAACCAGTTTCGGCATTTTTATTGATTTTTTTACAGAGAGGAAGGGAGAGAGATAGAAAGGCAGAAACATCGATGAGAGAGAAACAACGACCAGCTGCCTCCTGCACACCCACCACTGGGGATGTGCCCGCAACTAATGTACATAACCGGAATCGAACCCGGGACCCCTCAGTCCACAGGCTGACGCTCTCTCCACTGAGCCAAACCGGGTTCAGCTTAACATAATTCTTGACTGGCTGCCTCATCTAGTGGGAGCAGAGTCCTACAGGCACACGAGACCCCATGTGGACTGCAGACTGCATACATCACCCAAAAGGTATAGAAAGGGATACAGCAGGTTGGTGACAGGAAGGTCCATCTAAGAGAGCATCTATACTATTTATAAATAGAATTATTGATGCTCTTTCAAAATAGAAAGTTGATGTTATAAAATGACTATGTGTTTTGGGGGCGGGCAGATTTTCTTGTTCTGGAAATTTAGGCAGGCTTTGTGTGCCTTCGGGTCTGTTTTCTTAGTTATAAAAATAGTCATCCCTGCCTCTCAGGGCAGGAGTGGTGCATGAAATAACAAGCGTCACTCACAGGAGATACACGACATTTTCTCTTCCCACCGTGGAGCTAATTCATGTCAGCCACTCTGGGGAGAATTTGGGGCTGACCTTGGTTTCCTATACTTTCAGAAGTCAGGTTTCTAGCCCTTCTATCGCCACCTCCAGTGCCAATAGCCAGCTGATGATGCTGGAAGGGAAGTCAGGACCCTACTTTTCTTCTCTGGACTCGAGCATTGAGATCCTGAAGAAGAGGGCCCAGGAGCTGATCGAAAGCATCAATGAGAGCAGGCAGAAGGACCATGTGCTCATGACCAACTTCAGGGACAGCCTCAAGATCAAGGTAAGCTGAAACCGGTTTGGCTCAGTGGATAGAGCGTCAGCCTACAGACTGAAAGGTCCCGGGTTCGACTCCGGTCAAGAGCATATATATACCTTGGTTGCGGGCATATCCCCAGTGGGGGGTATGCAGAAGGCATCTGATCGATGTTTATCTCTCATCGATGTTTCTAACTTTCTATCCCTCTCCCTTCCTCTCTGTAAAAAAATAAATAAATAAAAATATCAAGGTGACAAGATTTACACACACACACACTGCAAAACCCCAGTGTGGGGGTGGGCAGGGAAAGCCCTTATATAAAAGGTGAAGGGTAAGGCTGAGCATCTGTTACATTCTCAGCAAGGTGCCAGGCAATTTGCATTTGGTACCCCATTTTACCAATAGCCCTGCAAAGAATGGACCCATTTTATAGATGGGAAAAGTAAGGTTTAGAAATAATTTTTCAGAATGCGAGACCGAGGTTTAGCTGCACCCAAAGCCCAGCCACCTCATTACACACCAGGACTAATGGCTATTGGGAGTAGAGGACTGAGGCATACCTATGTTAACACAGCCACTTCTGTGTTTTCCCCCAGAAGTAAAACTTGTGATGGCAGAGTAGAGATCCCTCAACATGACAGGGCTTATGTCTAACAACGCCTGTTATGTTCAAGTACAGTGTTAATGATTACCCCTGATGCTTCTTCAGAATGCACAAGGGATCTCGGGAGTAGGACATCTCTTGACAACAGGCTGACTTTTCTTCACCTTTGATTGCTCCCTCCCATCCCTACCAGTACACAGAGTAAATTAAGCATAACATAGCAGAAAAAATATAAAAACATTCCTATGATCCCACCACCCAGAGGCTACTTTGTTGCATATTTTTTTTCTAGTCTCTGTTATGTACTTATTTTTAACCTGGTGGAGCCTATACTGTATTTATCATTTTGAAATCTTGCTTTAAATTTTTTTTCTTAATATAGGCAATTTTCACTCCTACTTACTGGAGTTTCCCCCCCCCCCCCCATTTTTAAAAATTATGTTTTTTTTTTCATTTTTTTATTAAGGTATTATGTGTACATATCTTACTATTGCCCCCCCTCCCATTGTTTTTATTGATTTTAGAGAGAAAGGGAGAGGGATAAATAGAAACATTGGCCCTAGCTGGTTTTGCTCAGTGGTTAGAGTGTCAGCCTGCGGACTGAAGAGTCCTGGGCTCAGTTCTGGTCAAGGGCATATGCCCATGCGATGGGCTCAATCCCCAGTAGGGGGCATGCAGGAGGCAGCTGATCGATGATTCTCTCATCATTGATGTTTCTATCTTTCCTTCTCCCTTCCTCTCTAAAGTCAATAAAAAAAATATTTTAAAAAAAGAAACACTGATGAAAGAGAAACATTGATTGAGCCTGCAACTAGGGCATGTGCCCTGACTGGAATTGAACCGGCAACCTCTTGGTTCATAGGTAGATGCTCAACCACAGAGCCACACAGGCCTCTTTTCTTTCTTTTTCTTTTCTTTTTTTTTAAAACCATTTTTAATGATTAAACTGCAGAAGTCTTAGGGAGCCACTTAAAACACATGTCTTGTGATGCCTCTGGTTTGATTTTTTCAAAAACATGTCATATTGTTTAAAAGATTTCAGATCTGACAGAGAAGTTAGAGGAGAGGCTGTATCTACTTTATAATCACCACAACAAGATCATTCAGGAAAAGCTCCAAGAGTTCACCCAGAAAATGGCAAAGATCAGCCACTTGGAAACAGAGCTCAAACAAGTGTGCCAAACTGTGGAGACCGTGTACAAAGACTTCCAAGACCTGTGTGTCCAGCCAGAGGTATGACTAAACCCCTCCGGGAGGCTCCAACACACCATGAGAAGAGTCGTAGGGGCTAAGATGAAAGGCAACAGAAACGGGTGCTCCTGCCATCTCGCTTGTGGCGCCATCCTCTCCTGTAAACATGGTGGTTGGAGCTGAGAAGCCAGGCCCCTGTTATTTCCCACTCCTGTGTGGCCAGCTCTGTGGTGACAGAAAGGACAAAGTCCCCTCCACCCACAGACCTGGGCAGTGCCTAACCAGGTTTACTTATTACCGCAGAGGCCAAGATGCAGGCAAGGGCCAATCACTGTGGGGGGCAAGGAAATTCCCACAACATGAGAACCTCCCAGCCCCCACTCATGTTCATTTCCCTGTGACTGAACCAAGTAGTGGTTACAAGTAAATGTGACCCAACACCGAGGATCAGACATGCAGACTTTTTTTTATAGTATTACAGATGTCCCCAATTTTCAATCCTATTGCCCCCCTCCCAGACTATTATTCTCTCCCCCACATTCTGCCCCAATGTCAGCATAAGGCACTTATCCCCCAGATTGGGGGGGGGGGGGTCAGAGGGTACACAGGAAACGCAAAGGGGGGTGGTTGCTCAGTCAGATACCAGGTCAGGTCTCATAGAGGTTGCTTCTGTGTCACTCTCTTTTCCCTGCTTCCTGTCAAGAGAAGCTTCTGTTCCAAGCTAAGTGGGGTCCACTGGGTTGAGAAACTTGGTACAGAGTCCGTCTTCTTTATAAGGAGCACATATGAGTGACTTCAAAAGGGAAATTTTGTAATTTAAAAATCAGGATCTCTCACCTCCCAGCATAAAAATTGGCTCCCTCTGCCACCTCCCTGAGTAAGCTCAGAGCAAAGCGGCTCCCGGGAAGGGGTTCGGTACCATCCAGGCTCCTGGGTGAAGTGTATTCACTTGCTGGCTGTGAATGCCTGGATCCCTGTTATTGCCCTTCCGAGAATCAAAGCGTGAATGTCATGAGTACCTGAACAAGAAAAATACAAAGTCAGTTTGGTGTCTTAACAGCTTACAACTCCCCTTTAAACTCAATCTTCATTTCCCCACCTCAGGCTACCTCTTTGGAAGAAGAGCAAACGCACAAAGATGGCGAATGCTGACAGCGTCTGAGAGTGACAGCCACCAAGAGAAAGTTCAGAGGCCACCATTCTGGCCGCCCTGAGGAAATTGTTTTTCTATAACAGTTCTATAATGCATCTTGGCAAAACAAAACAAAAAGCTTGTGCCAGCCTCAAAGGCAGGGAGTCCAGCCACCATTATGGGCCCAGATTTGGTGTCCCCAACATGTGGCAAATTTACCCCACCCCAGCCCTGCACAGTTCATTAAACATTTGATTTTCAACCCAATCATGCTTCCTCCCATGGAGGTGGAGAGCTCTGATGGGTTCTGGAAGCACATCAGGCCCTTTCTCATCCACAGGAGGGAGGTGAAAGCAAACATCACGTAATGGTTTGCCCAGCTGAGCTACTCTGTCCTGAGGCTGCCACCTATCCTTGAGTTTGGGTAACACTTTACATGCCTCAGTGCTCCCATTTGCTCTTCAGCTTCCAGGGTCAGAAGGCAAAGATTACTGTCTCCCTTATATGGAGCAAAATAATTATTTACTTTCTAAAGTGCACACCTGACCCTTCCCTTCCCTTTCATAAAATCATCTGAAGACCCTTCTTACTCTAAGGCTCATTCCCACCTGTAGGATCCCCCACCCCTCCCTCTTTTAGTTTGTGGAATGTCCCATCCAGAAAAGCACATACAAGCTATTTCACCGTCTCTGCCTAGGAAGCTCCTACACTTCCAAGAACTCAGTTCCACATTTTTTTACGTTTTCCCATGAGGCAATGGGTTCTAGGCAATGCATCACATCCAGTTGCCAGCTGCAAACACAATGCAAATGGTTCTCTTTCTCTCTTAACATGGAGTGGCCTGTGTGTAGTCTCCTTTGCATCCACCAGCTCACTGGGCATCAAGCCCCTCTCTGGGGCTGCCTGAGAGCCATCAGCACTCCTGGGAACACCTCCAAGCATCATAAAGGACAGGTCAGAGAGCACCTCCCATCCTAGGTCCCAATGTAAGCCACTCAGATGAGGGGTATAAGGTGGGAGCTGCCTCATGTCATGCTGCCAGTGGTGATAGCTGGGAGTAGGACTCAGGTCTGCTGTCCCTGCCCCTCTTCCCCAGATAGTGAGGCCACTGCAATGTCCCATCCCCTGAAGCATCCAGCCTCACCTTCATATGTGTTCACGGCCTCCAGGTTCATGGCATGCCGGATCACATGGTACTCATCAGAAATCCCATTTCCCCCCAGCATGTCTCGGGCCTGGCGGGCGATGTCCAGGGCCTTCCCACAGTTATTCCTCTTCAGCAGGGAGACCATTTCCGGGGTGGCCCTGGAAGCAGCACAGACATGTAACAAGTGTTGATTACAAAGAGCTGATCCTGCTCCAGGCACCCCTACAGGCCTAGACAAACCAGCCAGGTGGAGGATTCCCCATGTTACAGTCAAAGCAGCAGACACCAGGCTCCCCTTGAGGGACAAGAGGGTGGGCCCTGGACCATCAAAGCCAAGAGAAAAGGGATCAGGACCCAAGGGCCACCAGGTAGGACTTTTATTCTTGGGATCAGCAACCACCACGCCCAGGAGAAGCACAGGGTCCTGTGGCAGCTGTCCCACTCTGCCTCCCACTACAAGTGGCCTTACTTGTCTCGATCCTTCAAGCGGCCAAGCTGCAGGCAGGCATGAAGGCCCAGTGTGATCTCAGTGAGCATGTCCGCCAGCTTCTTCTGAATCAGCTGATTCCTGGCCAGTGGGACACCAAACTGTATCCTAGGAAGGCAAGGTCAGGGTAAGTTAAAGGGGACCCACTCTCCAGTCCTCTCCCAGTGCTCCACTGGCCCAGGGAGCATTCCCAGGCTGCCTCAGTCCCTGCCTAGCTCGTCTTGGCCATCATTGACTCAACCCACCACTGCTCACAGGGACTTCCCTGGCTATTTCACAGAGCAGGGAGCCTAGGGCTGGGGCTAGGCACCACCAGTGGGGTGAAGGATGGAACCTGAAGTTCTCGGTCAGCTCCCACTCACCTGTCCAGGGTGTACTGCCGGGCTGTGTGCAAACAGAACTCAGCAGCTCCAAGTGAACCCCAGGCAATGCCATACCGGGCATTGTTTAGACAGCCGAAGGGACCCTATAGGATTGAGAGGGGACCTTTTCTCCACCAGGAAAGAGCTGAGGGGTGTGTGCAGAACCAACTCTGAAGAGGGGACACTCTCTCCTCAGACCCCCAGACACAGTCAGTGTAAATGGGGGGATTTAGAAGAGGCCACTTAAATCACATGCAGCCCTAGCATCAAAGCTCATGCATGGCAGGCCTTGCTCAGTGCCTACTCATTTTTTTTTTAAATATTTTTTATTGATCTTTTAGAGAGGAAGGGAGAAGAATAGAGAGAAACATCAGCTAGCGGGATGTGCCTGCAACCAATTACATGCACTTGACTGGAATCGAACCTGAGACCTTTCAGTCCGCAAGCCAGCGCTCTATCCACTGAGCCAAACCGGTTAGAGCGTGCCTACTCATTCTTGATTTTCACACAGCTTTACCCAGCCCAGGACCTGGATTGGCTGTTCAGATATAGGAGATGACATAAAGAGACAGGAAGATGTGCATGCATCAAAAAATTAAGTTGATTCCGGTCCAATGTGTTCTGGGCAGAGCCAGTATGAGCGAGTTAGTCACCAGAAAGAGACAGTGCCCAGGGACCATGTCTGTCTGGTCCCAGCTGGGTTCCCAGCACAGGGCCTGCCCAAGAAAGGTGAATCACCATGTGACCCAACACCAGTTCCCAAGTGGCTTCTGCTCACCGCCAGCCCGGAGGCATTGGGCAGCACGTTCTCCTCTGGTACCTCCACACCGTCCATGATAATCATACCCGTGGCTGAGGCCCGCAGGGAAAACTTGCCCTCGATCTTGGGGGCCGAGAGGCCCTGCATCCCCTTCTCCAGCAGGAAGCCACGAATGCAATTGTCTTCGCACTTAGCCCACACTACAAACAGGTCGGCCACAGGCGAGTTGGTGATCCTGGGGGGTGGGACAGACAGTGAGGATCTGGCTGCACCCCTCCACCTCTGCCTGCCCACCCGAGGTATCCAGGCTCCTCACCATGTCTTGGCCCCATTGAGGGTGTAGCTCCTGCTGGACGGGTTGTGGCGTGCTCTGGTCTCCATGCTGCCAGGGTCACTCCCATGATTGGGTTCCGTGAGCCCGAAACAGCCCAAGAGCTCCCCTTTGGCTGTAGGTATGAGACAAGGTGTCCCTCATTCACACCCTCAACTGAAAAGTGTCACCCTCTCCACTGAGCCAGGCTAAGGCAGATCTGGCCCTGCCTTCATAGCACTTCCAGATGGTAAAGGGACAGGTCTCCTCCCCCTGCCATAGTCACAATGCCATGATGGGGGCCTACAGGAGTCACCTAAATTATCTTGAAGGACCATGAAAGCAGTCCTGGATGTGGGGAAAGGATGTGCAAAGGCCCAGTGGTACATTTAGTTCCAAGTAACAATCTGATTAGGATAGGGCATCAAGAGAGTGACCACAGGTGAGACCACCAGAGGCCTCTGGACCCAGTCAGGAAGTTAAGACTTTAAAATTTGGGCTGGGGCAAGTCCAGAGCAACTAGGTCGGGAGTGGCAGTGACCAGACCCGGAGCAGCGACTGCCAGGCTGGGAGCGGCCAGGCCCGGAGCAGCCGGGTCTGGTGTGGCCAGGCCCGGAGCAGTGGCTGCCAGGCTGGGAGCGGCCAGGCCCGGAGCAGCTGGGTCCGGTGCGGCCAGGCCCGGAGCAGTGGCTGCCAGGCTGGGAGCGGCCAGGCCCGGAGCAGCCGGGTCTGGTGCGGCCAGGCCTGGAGCAGCGGCTGTCAGACTGGGAGCAGCCAGGCCTGGAGCGGCCGGGCCCAGAGCAATTGGGCCCAGAGCAGCCGAGTCTGGTGTGGCCAGGCCTGTAGCAGCAACAGCCAAGTCCAGAGCAACTGGGTCAGGAGCGGCAGTGACCCGACACGGAGCAGCTGGTTGTGGAACGAACCAGAGCAACAGAGGCCAGGCCCGGAGCAGCCAGGCCCGGAATAGCTCGCTCCTCGCCTGCCCCTGCCCCACGGCTGCCTCTCAGACATGGCTGGAAACTTTTGCAGGAACTTGAGGGTCTGCTGAATCAAGTGATGAAGGCTTAGATCTGGATGTGTTGAGTTAGTATAGCGCTGGGGTGTTGATCTGTGAGTGCCTTGGGTGGGGCCTGGATGAGGCTGGTTGTCCTATTAGGAAATGTCTTTTGTGTGAAGTGTATCATTGGGCATGTGGAGGTATTATTGATATGAGAGAATGCTAAGTAACAGATTTGCTATCTGAAAAGGGATTTACTATCGGGGAAAGGGAGGGAGGAAGAGACTGAACATAAACTGTGCACCAATGGATGAGGATGAGGGGGCAGAGGGTGGGGTGGGAACCTGGTGGAGGGGGGAAGAAACGAGGAACCTGTGTAATAATATGAACAATAAAGATTGATTTAAAAAAAAAAAAAAAAGAATCTAGATGAAAACTTAAAAAAAAAAAAAATTTGGGCTGGGGAAAACAAAGCAAATCAAGAGGGAGATTGGGAGATGATGGTTGTGAGCAGGGGCCCGAGTCAAGAGAGACCTGGGAGGGGAGGGTCAGGATTAGATGGGATGAAGCCCAGGCTCTAGCAGAGGGCCCAGGTGGCCATTGGTGCTCTCCTTGAAGAGGGAACAGAAGGTAGGCTCAGGGGACAGCCCCATCCCTGAGTTCCAGACCACGGGGCTGTCTTCCACCGGACTCCACAGGAAGCCTCTCACCCAGCCGGGGCAGGTATTTCTGCTGCTGCTCTTTGCTGCCGTATGCGTAGATGGGGTGCATGACGAGAGAGGACTGGACACTCATTGCTGACCTGTAGCCACTATCCACCCGCTCCAGTTCTCGGGCCAGGAGCCCATACGCCACAGATGAGGCTCCAGCACAGCCAAACCCTGGTGGGGGCGTGGGGAGAGGAGACAGGGCAATGGGGGACAAAGCCTGGCAACTGGGACCAGTGATTCCTGAGGCCCAAGAGACATATACACAGGGGCACCCAAGAAGGGAGCACTAAGCTGGTCCTAGCTTGAGGGTTTATTCATTTCATCCCCCCAGTTGGACAGCCTCACTTTGCAGAC